CCCCCCCCCCCCCCCCATTTTATTTTATTTATGCGTTTTCTTTTAGAGACAACTTTTTGGAGTCTTACCATGTAGCCCAGGCGGGCTTCTACCTCAGCTTCTTGAGTGCTGGAATTACAAGCCTGTGTCATCTCATCTAGCTATAAAAACTATGTTAGATAACAGGATGTATTTTATATATACACTATAGGCATACTTTATTGGACTTGAAGATTTTCTTTAAGACAGAGTTTCATTCTGTGGCCTGGCCTGACTTGGAACTCTTAGTAATCTTCCTGCCTTAACCTCCTCAGTCTGAGTGCTGGGATTTCAGCCATACCTTGTTGCCCTTTCTAGTAAGGGCATCAGCTTTGTACCTATAAAAGACCATACTTTACTGTGTATTGTTTTAAAGTCCTGATGAAACTAGGTCTGATCTTTGTTAGACCAACTTTGGCTGGGGCTCTTAAGGAGTTTTTGCATTAGTGCTTATCTTCATTGTTATGACTGATTCCATTTTGATAAAAGTAGAAGATGTTATTTGTGCCTGCAGTACATCATCTCTTAAATTCCTAATTTAGTGCAGATACATTATTTCCAGAAAGCAGTTCGCTGTAGTGGCAGACAGATACTAGAAGAAAGTTAGTGAAGAATAAGTTATATTTGGACTGAATTTAATATAGAATGATATAGCTAAATATGCTTTAGGTAGTAGTGCTCAAAGTTCATACATTTATGCACTTTATTCCATGAATTTGAATTGTACCCATTGTGATTCTGATGCTGATAATTCTGGATCATTTTGGAGACAACTGGTTTTAGGGATAGTTCAGCCCAATTTCTAGAATGATACATTTCTTAACCCCGCTTTAAGAAGTTAACTTTTTAAGGGCTGGAGAGATGGCTCAGCGGTTAAGAACACTGATTGTTCTTGCAGAAGACCCAGGTTCGAACCCTAGCACCCACATGGCAGCTAACAACTGTCTGTAACTCTAGTCCCAGAGGATCTGACAGCCTCTTCTGTCCTCCTCAGGTATTGCACGACACGGGTGCACTTACCTACATGCAGGCAATACACTCATAAAATAAAATAAAATTATAAACAAAAAAAAGGAAAGAAGTTACTTTAACTTTGCATAAAATTTATGTGCAAACTGAGCAATGTATTGGGGGTTAAAACTTGGATAGAGATCCTGATTCTTGCTGTAAAGCTGGTAAGCTTGCAAGTAATTTCTTAAATCTCCTTGTCCACTGCAATTACAAGTTGTCTATAATTATTTTATCTTTTTCTCTTTAAGCAACTCAGTTGCTCTCCATGAAACAGTGTTGCTATAACGGTTTAGTGCTCATCTCCTCTCTGACCAGTTTACTTCTCCATAGTCCTGCCATCCGAGAAGCAGCTGCTGAACTTTCTCAGCTTAATTATAAACTACTATGTACTTGCCGTTTCTTTTTTTCGGAGTCAGGGTCTTTAGGCCTAGCTGACTTCAATTATATAGCCAGATGACCTTGAACTTCTGACCCACCTGCCTCCACTTTCTGTTTTGCTGTGTTGAGGATTCAACCCAGGGCTTCTTGCATGCTAGGCAAACACTCTACCAGCCTGGCTCCTGTCTCAGTTCCTGTCAGTTGCCCATTCTGTGTTTGTATACATTGTTTTGTTTTCACTCTTAAAAATCTAGTAAAGGGGCTGGAGAGATGGGTCAGTGGTTAAGAGCACTTACTGCTCTTGCAGAGGACCTGGGTTTGATTCCCAGCACCCACATGGCAGCTTTGAAGCATCCTTAACTCCAGTTCCAGGAGAATCCGAAGCCCTCTTCTGACCTCCAAGGCATTGCAGGACACGGGTACACTCATATACATGCAGGCAATACACTCATATACATAAAATTTTTTAAAAATCCAGTAAAGTAAATTTGTAGATACGGTGTCAGATGAAGTAAATTGCTGAAAATAATTTTTATTATTTTATCTTTTTCTCTTATGAAAATTATGAATGGTAGGTATTAGTATGGGATATATATGGTGCTTTTTTAAAATTTTATTTTTTATGCTGGGCATGATGGCGTGGCTAGCACTTGGGAGGCAGAGGCAGGTGGATCTCTGTGAGTTCAAGGCCAGCTAGAACTATAGGGAGACCTTGTTTCAAAATAAAGACCAAAAATTATTTTTTATTTATTCTTTTAATGTATATGACTGTTATTGCCTGCATGCTTGTAAGTGCACCCATGTCATGCAATGCTCACAGAGGTCAGAAGAGGGCATCAGATCCCTTGGAACTGGACTTTTAGACAGTTGTTAACTGCCATGTGGATGTTAGGAATTGAACCCAGGTCCTCCATGAGAGCAGTCAGTGCTCCTAACCTCTGAGCCATCTCTCTAGCCCATAAGGTACCTTTTGTTGCTTTTTGAAATATGTCAAGACCCTATGGCCCAGGCTTGGAATCAAGGCAATCCTCCTATGTTAGCTACCATGCCCCAGCACCTTTTGGATTTTTTTTTTTCTTTATTGAGACAGGGTCTCAGTTTAGTCTTGCCTCCAATTTGATAGTTAACTGAGGCTGGCTTTGAACTCCTGATCCTCCCACCTCTATTCCCTAGGGCTAGAATGACAGACATGTGCTGTAGCTCCAGCTGGCCTGGAACTCACTATGTAGACTAGGAACTCACAGAGATCCTCCTGCCTCTGCCTTCCAAGTGCTGGGACTACAGGCATGCGCCACCTGGTTTGGCTTTTTTTTTTTTTTTTGAGACAGTCTCCCTGTAGCCATAGCTGGCCTGGAACTTAACTACATAGGCCACCCTGGCCTTAGAGATCCAGTGCTGGGATTATGTTGCTGTGCTGCCTAAGTTGGCCTGGAATTTGTGATCCTCCTACACAGTCTAACCACGTACTGGGGTTCGTTACCTAACCCCAGTAGTCACTCTACCAGCCTACCAGCCTTGTTCTAATTTTATTTTATTGTATTTTGTGTTTTGGAGATAAAGTAAGAGGACATTTTGCAGGAGGCCATCTTCTATTTCCACTATGTAGGTTCTTGCCAGACCTTTTTTCTAATTTTAATTTAAAAATTTTTTTTTTTAAGGCTTTTTGAGACAGGGTCTCCCTGTAGCCCCAGTTGGCCTGGAACTCACTATGTAGACCAGGTGGCCTCAAACTCAGAGCTCCTCCTGCCTCTGCCTCCCAAGTGCTGGGACTAAAGGGGTGTGCCACCATGCCCGGCGTTTTTTTGTGTTTGTTTTTTTTAAAATTTTTTTTTTATTATTTTTTTTTAACAGAGTATAGGGTAGTAGTTTATTTACAGAAGAGTGGGTGCCCCACATTTATGACTGCAGCTACACAAAATTGTGAGAGAGGTGTCTCTTGGTCAGAACTTTTTTTTTGTCTTTTTGAGACAGGGTCTTGTAGTCTTAGCTGACCTGGAACTCACTATGTAGACCAGGCTGCCTTGAACTCAAGGAGATCCGCCTGTCTCTTGTGTCCCCGAGTGCTGGGATCAAAGGTGTGCACCACCACGTCTGGCACAAACCCAGAACTTTATGCATGTTAGGGTAGCATTCTGCCAACCAGCCTGCAACCGGAGACCTCAGTTTTTTGAGACAGAGTCTCACTTATGTAGCCCAGGCTGTCTTTCAATTTGTGATCCTCATGTCAGGCCTCAAATTTGATCCTCTTCCTTCAGCCTTTTTCATGCTAGGGTTATTGGTGTATGCCAGTGTGCCTGGCTTGATAATGATTATTATTTTGAGAAGGGTGTCACATAATCCAGGCTGGCCTCTAACTCCCTATTCCCTAAGTAGTTGAAGATTACCTCAAACTCTTGACTTCCCTGCCTCTACCAGCTTGAGTGCTGGGATTCAAGGCCTGTGTTTCCCCATCCACCTGAGAGTGTGCTCATGCTCATATGTGTGCCTTGTGCTTGGGGGGAGATCAGAGGGCTTTTGGGAGTCTCCTACCATGGGTCCATCCTGGGGGATCAAACTCAGGCTGTTAGGCTTACAAGACAAGTCCTTTTATTTTTTTATAGACTGCTCAACAGCTTTTGTAGAGTCAAGTGACTGAGTTCTAGACCTGCCAAGGCTACATACAGTCTCTCCAAAAAAGAATATTTTTCTGTATGGTGCTAAGGATTGTACTCAGGGCCTTGTACATATTGAGTACACTATTACAGTTAGACATTTCTAGCTCAGAATTT